CAAAACATTCAGCAACTTTCACTTCACTGAGTCCTTTCTGAGTCTTATTTTTATGATGCTCAGAAGATACCTCACTAACAGTGACCATTTCTCCATCTCTGCTAGAAGTACTCATCTTGGATCGTTTGAGATGAGCGTGTACATAAACTTCACCTGCCTGCATTGCAGTGTCTCTTGTTCTGGCTCCAGCCAGCTCTGCCTACTACTTGCCATTTGCACTTGCATTTGTGCCTCACATTAGACTGTAAATGGATTTTTGGAGCAAGCACTGTGGCTTCTCTGAAGGATTTGGCTCTGTTTTGCAGCAGGTGAGATGAGGTGTGTTTACGGTAGATGGCTCATTAGTGCAGCTACGTGGAACTGCTGCCAGGTAGGATGCCAGGTCATGGACTGTTTGTGGATGGCCTGTTTTGTGTGCCCCAGGGCAGGGCACTTTCCAGATGGCCTTTACGGACTGACCTTCTTAAGCTTCTGGTTGATGTGCGTCAGCTGTGGCCTGGTCAAACCCCATATAAGAGGGTTGTTTTTTTCTTTAAAAATGTGTATGAAAAGTCTCTCTGCTTTCGAGCTGGTATGCAGACTGTTCGTAGAAGAGTCTTAGGTTTTTATCCTTTCGAGTGCCTGTCCTTAGACGCCTTGCCTTCATGGAATTCTTGGGTTAATTATACTTTGTTTAAAACAAGAAATAGAATTTTTTACCTGTGTTGTGTAGTGGCAGATAACTGTATTGAGTCTTGCCAGACTGGGATTCTAGTTTGGCCATATTGGCCTGAAAACACCTGATTTTTGGAAGCTAAGTTATTCTGAGTCCGTCCAGCAAAATTACTGGGATGGATGCATGAGTCTAAGGAGCTGTGGTCAAACGACTTTGCAAGTGCTAAACCACTGATGCCGAATTAATTCAAAGACTTCAGGACCCATCCTTACGGCTGAGCTGATAGATCTGGGGAAAGAGGGGGTGGCAACCTTGGCCTGCTTTCTAAGGTATAAGCTTAATTCTTTCTGTAGTGATGAGGCTGTTCTGAGCTTCCCCTCTAGGAACTTCGCAATTAAAAACAAGGTGCTGATTTGAATTTTTTAAAAACTTGCTTCTGTATTCACTGCAGGAGCTTGATGACTTTCTGTTTTAAATCATTAATTGATTTGTTCATTTTTTAGATGGTTATGTTTTGAGGTTGCTTGACGCAGCAGAGCTAAACAGACGTTTTCTGGCAGAACCGTGACATTACTTTGCTCTGAATTCTCAGCATTCGTTTCTACCGTGTGCTGCAAGGAGGTGAACAGCAGGACCTTGGCTGTGCTGGAGGCAGAAGGCAATGTAATGGGGAGCAAGGGATCCACGCAGGCTGGTTATGTGTTCAGGAATTTCTTGCTCCTCCCAGCCAAGTGCGGACACGTGAAGCATGGATACAGTCAGTATCGGCAGACTGGGAAGAGATCTCCTCAGAAGTTTGCTAGGAACAAACCTTATAGCCACTAACCTTTGAAAGTTCAGCCCTGTCCTCAAACTCCATTCAATCAAGTATTTGAAATGAAATGCTACATTTTTAGAATATACTGTTCTGCGAGAAGTAAAACTAATGGAGATTGCTTTTTAGCTACAAATTTACATCCTTTACCCTCTTATGTATTCCTTCACTCTCTTAAGAAATCCAGTTCTTTCCCCAGTCCCCACTGAGCCTCTCAAATATACAGTTTCCTCCATATCTCTTATCTACCTCTCGTTACTGGTGGTAGAAAGGGGAGGAGAAATGTAGCAGAACTAGCAGACACCATATTAGCTTAAATCTTTTACTTAAAATCAGGCTAAAAAAAAGACATTGTAAAGATTGGTTAATGAGACAAATTGCAAATAAAGCCTCAGGGATTTCAGTGAGATAAAACTCAGGTTGTACAAAGTCAGCGAACAGCGCTATCTGATATTCCAGAGGTAAAGGAATAGCATGGAGGAGCGAGAAATTAAATTCCTGTGCCAACTTCATTCCCTCTCCCCCACAACATGTATATCATTAGAGATAGAAATATTTCTCAAATCTACCTCATCTAGAATGTTGCTCATCATAGACCCCTAGACAAACAGAAATATATGATTTCAAGATAAGTAAGAATAACAGTGTAATATAAAGTTTTGTGGCTTTCAGTATAGCAATCTGGGAAGATGATCCTCAGTACTTTACCCTAAATTCTTTCGACTTTTGTTTTGGTGTTTATGGTAAAACCAAAGCTTACTTGTTTGGGAAGGTGGGGAAAGCCACAAAAACCCCAAACCCCCAAATCCATAAAGCCAAGGGTGTTAGGCCAAAAGGAAAACTTAAATGCAGAGGATGGTTTAGATCACTGTATAGAAATGTTTGGGGTAATTCTTTGTTTCCTGAATAACAGTGATTGACACACTTCCTAATGGACGGATTTCTTGAGCCTGTGTTTCGGCATGTAAAGTAAATGTCTGAGTATATTTTGATCTATAACTTGTCTTGTTTATGGTTAGGGGTTTTTTAGCTTGAAATTTTCAAAGTTTTGCTATTATTTGTTTGTTGTTCATTGCAGTTACTTGATCTGTGAGTTTGTTTAAAGAATGAATAAATATATTTGAATGTTTTTCAGTATGTTTGTATGGCATTTCATTCGTGGGTTGAGAAGATAAACTGAGACAAAGAGGTGCCAATGGTTTAATGAGAAACCATGATTGAGGCATGCAGAACCCAGAGAAGAAAAACTTGAGTGTTGCTTTGCCCTCTTCCCTTTCAAAAGTGAACTCAGCCCATGCAATCCGTGTGGAATGCTACAGCTGCCGTTTTTTTGGCTGGAGTAATGAGATGGAGATGGAATGGTGCACAAGACTTGTGCTCTTATCCTCTGTGTACTCAATGCCCTGCTGCTTTCTTACATTGGCATGTTTTTTCATAACACTGTGGAGATTTAATAAATTCTCGGACTGGACTGAGGTTGCTGTAGCCTTACCAAACGTAGCTGCAATATTTTATGTCTTTGTTAGGTGCTGAAGCTATTTAAAATGCCAGGCTGCTAAACTGATGAAAGCCATTACCTGGTTGCTGAGACCCAAGCGTGTTCCAGTGCCAGATAAAAACATCAGTACTGGCTTGTTTCAAAGATTTGGAGAAAGCATGCTTTGTTCTCTTCATGTCAGTGAGCACATCATTCAAAACTAGGGAATAAACTGTGATGTTAAAAAGCAAGTCCATTTGGATTTTTCTTTTCCAATTCTACAGTATTTATGGCCATAATGATTTTAACCACTCCCCATAACCTTTTCCTATTTTAATACATTATGTTAAATAATTTAAGTTTTCTGTATTTGGCATGATAGAAAAATTAAACACTTCATTTTTTTTTGTGTGAATTTTAATTTATTTCAATAAAGGAATGGCATGACATAGTTCGATAGCTTTAAATGAGTCAATAGATGAGCACACTGAATTGTAAGCCAGGGTGTTTCAGTGTTCACTAGGTAGAACTATTCACAGGTTGGGTATTTCCATGCACTGGAAAATATTCAATAAACTTAGTTCTGAATTGGAACTTCAACTATTCAGAATTTCCCCTAGAGGGGAAATGTTGATTTATTTTTCATTTAAAAAAAAAAAAAAAGAAGATACTTTCTGTTCCGGAGGGTTTTCCCCTCACCCAAGCAGGAGTGGGAGGTAGGTGAATGGAAGCCCAGGTAGGGTGAGGGTGCTGCAGAAACCTCCCTCCCTTCTTCACGTCCCAGCACCACGGTCGGGCAGCAGCTGGGCTCCCAGGCCCATTCCAAGTCCAGGAACGGGCACAGTGGGGCTGGGAGGAGCGGATCTACCAGGGTTATTGAAGGTTCATCCAGATGATTCTCAAATACTCTGTTGTACTCAATATCTGCAAAAAGTGTTTTGTGGGAGCAACCCCCCTTGGTTGTGTTGCCAGCTTTAGAAATGTGGCTTCTTGATAACACTTAAGATCCAAACGCAAAACCAGATTAAAATCTCTCTATCTGGATGAGCTTCATGCTAGCTATGTTGAATCATGGTGAAAGTAGGAGACTTGACATCGCTTTGATGTAACTAAATCCGCGCTGTCACCACAGCAAAGCAATACGGGTTTGGGTGGGAGGCGCAGGAGGGAGACAAACCTTCTTTCAGGTCCGGAAACTCTGCCTCAGGTTTGTAGCATGTAAGAGCCAGAAAGCTTGTTGATGACTTTTGGGGTTGGGGTTTTTTTTGCTCTCTTTTCTCATGACTATGTTGGCTGGGTTAATGAAATCCTTTCTCTTTGCTTGTAAAACTGGTGCTGTTTATCACTAAAGCACCCCTTCTACTGCTGTACTGTGATTATTGCCAGGTCGTCCTCTGAAGGTAGTAACTCAGTGGGAAAGGACGATCGCTGCTGTCACCGCAGAGCTGTAAAACAGCCAGTGTATTCTAGTAATACTCTGCTCCTTGTTTTGCTTTTGCCAAAGTACTGCAGTTATTTTGATGACTCTTGCACAAAGCATCTACAAAGAGATGCTTTCCAGTTAACCAGTACTTCCAGTAATCATACTCTTAGCTTATTACATTGAAGTTTTCCTCTATTTAATTTGGCTCAAACTGCCAAAATGGACTTGGCTAAGAGCATGATGAGATTGAAAGCTTAGTGAGAAAGAGGTTTTGTCAAGCTGAGGTGCTGTCACTCTTTGGAACCTGGAAAAAATTCACCGAACTAGATCAAAAGTTAGAAGCAGCTTGAACCAGGAGTTAAACTAATGTCTTGCTTTAAACGTAGAGCTGGCCCTACAGCTTCTGTGCGAAAAACCTCCCAGCTGAACACGTGTTTCATGCCGGCAACAAACTGGTGTGTGCAATGGGCATCCTTTCGTATTGATCTAATAAAAGCTCAGTTAGATCCCATGCTGTCAGCAGTTGCTGTCTCAGAGCTCTCTGCACATGTACAGTGTAATTCTGTAATGTCTGAAATACCAGGAATGTGGAGTTTTTAAGGTATTTACCTATGTCATAGCCACTTCTCCTGAACCTGTTTTAATGTAGCAAGTCGAAACAAAATCCGCTGATTTTTCGACAACGGCAGCGAGAGCACCAAAACTAGCTCGTGTCTGTTTTGCCTTTTGGAGCCTTTCTCCCTCCTGCACTTCAAAGCTGCTTAGCTTCACTAGTTTCCTTCCTTCACACAAAATGTCGGTGTAGAAACTTCAGAAATGCTGGTTAGGTACTCTTAAAAGGTGTGAAACTGCTCGGTCCGCCAAATGTCAAAGTCAGCTACGGGGAAAGTTATTCAGGGTATTTAGTTTTAACTTCACATTCTGTCATGTTCTAGGAGAATATTCAGATATAGATAACCCTGACTACACCGGCACGTACTAAAGCAGAACCATTAGCTGATGTTTTTCCACAGCTGATTTTCATAACACTTTCATTACATATAAGATTTTGATTTGTTTTCCTAGGAGGAACAAAAGGTAGAAAAGCTGAGAACATACCAGTAAGAGAGAAGGGAATCTGCCTTTCTGTATGTGGGACTGCAAGGCTGTGTTTGAGCTTGGATTGGAGCAAAAATCCTGCAGCCTTGGAAACACTGGAGCATTTTTATTAGGTTTGTAATGTTATTTTTTTGTTTGTTTCTGGGATGTATGTAAAATGATATTGATCATCCGTTTATTGAAGCTTAGGTAGTGCTGGAACAGTTGTCGAGGTACCACCTGCCCCGTGCTCTTCTGCTGAGCGGGGCCAGGCGGTGGAGGTTTGTCCAAATTGGAAAAAAAATCCCTAGTAAAAGAATCTCCCAAATGTTCTGTGCCACTGCTGTATTCTCCTTAATTAGAAAACTCTTCCAGTAACTGCCTTAAATTGATTTTTCTGCAAATTAAGTTTCCTTCTCCTCCTTCCTCCCCTCGCTAGGGACCATGGTTGTTTGGCATCTGGTTTGCGCTCTGATCACGCTGCCTCGAGTTCTGTCTCTGCTCTTTTCTGCTTTGAAAAAACATGCCCGATTCTTTCAACCTCATCTCCTAGGTTATGTTGTCTAAATCGTTCATCATTCTTGTTGGTCTTCTCTAGAGCGGAGCGTGTTGCTGTCCAAGCCAGACTGCATCATCCCCAAGCCAGCAGAACCATTACCTTATTTGTCTCTCAGTCCTCTCTCCCCAGGTTCATCCAGAACGAGTAGCTTCTCCTTCTTTCTGTGGCAACGGATTGTTGTATAGCTGCTCCTCAGTTTGTGCCTTTCTACGATTTCTGAGCTTTTTAGCAATGCTGCTGCCCTGTCAGTCACTCCTTGTGCAAAATTGATTTCTCCTGTCTAAGAGGAATGCTGTTAACAATTTTATTGGGTTGCATTTTTGTCACTTGTGTTGCTGTGCCATTTGGAAAACTGCTGCAATTTCTTTTGTATACTCTAATTGTGTCTCTGGACATCTTTCCAACCATTCCTCCTTTGATATAATCCATGGAGTGCCTGCTTTCACATGATCAAATTGTTTAAAACACTGGATAAAGCTGCTAACCTGACAAATTCCTGCAAAACAGCGGCCTTTGCTGTCCTGCTGTGTGGTCAAGTGCTCTTTAAGAGGGTTGATTTTTTTTTTTGAGTTAGCTGCATACCCATCCCAGTGATTAACTGTTTTGTTTCCTCAAGCTGATTAGTAGGATGTTGCCTCATATGTTAGGCTTATCAAAAAGGGAAACTGGATTGGTTTGGCACAAACTGTTCTTGATGTCTGGTAAACAACAAGAAGAAGGGATAAAAAAATTGTTTACTTTGTTCTAAAATTACTCTAGGAATAAAAGTTGGACAAATAGACTGATAATTTCTTGGATGCTTCCTTTCTGAAGACAAACATGATGTTTGTCCTTCAGTTTTAAAAGACTTCTTCTGTTTGCTACAGGCCTCAAAGAAAACTGCCCGTGTTTCAGGTTGCATCGGTGTTCAGATCATTACATGCTGCAGGATTAATAAGACCCTGCCCACATGAAGACATCCACTTTATCTGAATGTTCTCCAGCCTGTTCATCTGGATGTATGCTTGTTTGCTTGTTAAAGTTAATTTGCTCTGGTTATAGATAAACCTTTTTGTAAAGACTAAAACAAAACAGAAACTGAGTGCACCAAGCTTCACTGCAGTGCTCTGATCTTTCCCATCGGGTCATGAGCCTGCACTTCATCTTCCTTTGGCTTATAGGGTAGCCAAAGGCTGTTTTTCTGTCTGCTTTGTCCCCTGCTAATTAGGACTCGGTTTAGCCTGTTGCTTTCATGCCTTCGGTCTGCTGGAAGCTGTGGTTCAGAGGCGGGTCCCTGGTGGGGTGAGGGCTGGAGGGCAGAGGAAGGGCAAGCTCAGAGCAAACAAAAGGCATCGGGGCACCGAGATAGTGACCACAAATTACAGCCTATACGAAACAGGCTTTATTGTCAACTGCCTGCCAAGCCAGGCTTTTCCTTCTGGTCTTCTGTCCTCATTACTCTACCAAATATGGTGCAAGTGCCTGGTGGGACGGTGGGGAGGCAGAGCGCTGCCGGCGTGCACGTCAACCCGTTCCGACGCGCAGATTTCCCCTGCTCGGAGTGCTTTCAAAGGTGGTTCGATGTTGCTCCTAAATAGTGTGCTGGCTTGTTTTCTTTACATACTGTGTATTCTGGCACACCGCCCAAGGTAATTTTAAAAAATGTTTTAAAAATATTTGGAAGTGCATGTAGTGCAAATTTGTGCTCTGTTGCTGTGCTCTTGAAGTAGAACGAAAATGGGAAGTGTACTCTAAAAAACAGCAGCCAGAGAGTTCAGGGCTCTGTGGTGCTCGTATGATGCACTGTAAGTAATAAGAGATTTTCAGCTTGCTGGGGCCCAGCTTCATGATACTGGTCTTTAAATGCTCTTATTTACACCTGCAACCTCTTACTTTACCTGTAAGTGGGAAAGCTGTATAGCAACTTCTTAATGCACATGGGTTTTGTAGCATTCATTTTATTTATGTGAAGAAAGACTTCCAGAGCTGCAAATTTAACTTAACAATGGGGTGGTCCGTGCGGACTTATGGGTGTTAGTAACACTGAGATTGGAGTGGATGTCTCTCCCTGGGTGGCAGAGGTATAGTTTTCGCAACCCGGAGCTGATTCAGCTGTTGTATGGCTTTGCTTCCTATTGAGGAAATGTAACACCCTGCCTGGGATTGGGAAATGCAATTTTTAAATTTTTTTTTAAACAATTAGGAGGAGGAAGTAGCCAAGAGCTTTGTTGCTAGTGCAGAGCAGACCTTTGCCGAGCTGTTTTCCCTCTGGCAGATACGGGTAGGCAGCCCAGAAAGGGGTGCGATGCTGGCCGGTTCGGAGCAGAAGCAGCTCTGGTGTTCCCAGCCCCTCCAGCTGAGCAGCGGCCGAGGAGCCAGCACCCATCCTGCTCCGCTCAGCCTGAGGCGTGGGCCAGCCAGAGCGGGGAGCTGGAGGCAGCTGGTCGCTGCTTGCCGCAGCCCTGTGATTCCTCCCCGGGCATCTCCCGGGGTGCTCGCCCCTGGGCATGGCTGCTCCCAGCCTTACAGCTTTTCCGCCCGTCTGTACTGACCCAGCTTGTCAACACCAGTGGGCACGGGAGCAATTTTTCTCCTGTAATGGGCATGAAGTGTCTTTCTGGACGATCCAGAATATGACCATGATTCTTCATATTTAAATAACAGACATGACAGAGCAAAGGCATTTTCTGAATGATTTTATAAATGTGCTTCTGCTTATATTGTCCTTCTACTACATTTATCTCCTGACTTGTCAATTGTGTTTCCACTTTCACTCCTCACTAGGTCAGACAAGCGGAATAAGCTTGCAAAAGAAGCATTTTCTTCAGCTTGCATAGCTCATGATACGAGGACAGACTTGTTCGCAGATCCTCCTACCGAGGTCCCTGACGCTATTATAAATGAGTTGTGTGCGTCCTCTACAGGAACTGGCACACAATTAATGCTTTTATCATACTGCTTAACTGTTATGAGATGCCTCTGAATGAAGGATAGACACACAATTAAGGAAACTCGCTGTGGTGTGTAAGCCAAAGCAATACATTTTAGTTTGTAGTCCTGTTTTGATTCCTGAGTAGCAGGAGGGAAACGAAAGGGAAGGGCAAGGAAAAGGGAAGGGGAAGGGAAAGGAAAGGAAAGGGAAAGGGAAAGGAAAGGAAAGGGAACCCTCTGTTTTTACGGCTAAATCCAGACAAAATTAAAAGCTTTAGCATGTTGTATCTCCAGAAGCACAGAATCCAAACTGACTGATTAGGATTGATACAATACAGATACAGATGAGTCACATCATACCAGTTTTTTTTTTCTCCTGGCTTCTTTGCCTTCTTGGTGCAATCAGGTCAGTTCCTGGCTCTCCCTTAGTAATAAGGAAGGTAAACCTTTGCTTTCTAAGTGAAGCTGTAGCCATCTGTCTGCAGGACGTGGAGCTTTGGGAAAGTGTCAAACACTGTGAGACTTATGGCAGGCCGTGGCGTTGCTTGCACCTTGTGTACAGATACTCTGAGGCAATGCTATTGCCAGCTGCAGCTTGGACATGTCCGTGTGCCGTTATTGACGCCGGAGGATGACTAGCTCCTGGGGAGAGCTTGGGCTCCTGTTACACTTTAATTTTGTAGCCTGGAGGATGGACAGGGAGAAAGGTACCATACTTTCATGCCAACGGAAAAGGCTGTGAGCACTGAAATGAATGAAGCCTTGATTCCCGCAGGCCTGTGCTGCGCACTCCCCGACAGCCCCTCGGCAGGTCCGTGTGCTTTTGTCCCTGGCCTGGGACGCATTCACAGGGCTCAGCCCTGTCCTGTCTTGCCAAGCTGGTAGGAGCAAATCCATGGAGAAGTCCTTTCAGCCCTTTAACAAAGTCAGCTGAAAGCGGCCAGAAGGTCCAGAAGTTACTCCGGAGAGGAGGGGAAGCACTGAGCCCCTCCGAAAAGCCAGGTTTACACAAGAAGTGGAAATGTAAAATTGGAGTGCGGAGGTGACAAATGACCAGAGAGCGGGGGGAGAGGCCTGGGGGTGCCACTGTCACCAGCCGGGAGACCAGAAGGCAGGGCCAGCGTGAAGGGACAGAGCCAGTGTCAGCGACGAGGAGTTTGTCCCTCTCCCACCCACGTTCAGGATGCTTCTAAGGGCTGGGTGTGGGGGTTTTCGAGGGGGTGGTTTTTGGGCGTGTGTTTGGTTTTTTTTTTTGGGGGGGGGGTGG